TCATTGGATGAGTGGATATGGAAAATGTGGTATATCTACACAATGGAATACTACTCAGCTATAAAAACGAATGAAATACTGCCATTTGCAACAACATGGATGGACCTTGAAAGAATAATATTAAGTGAAACGAGTCAGGCAGTGAAAAAGAAATACCACATGTTTTCACTTATTGGAGGGAGCTAAAGCTCTTACAACAAGAAAATGGAGGGGACACATCTGGGTGGGATGGGGGAGAGGGAGGAGAGAGGGAGGTTTTGGTGATGGGACACAATAACTAACTACATTGTATATTGACAAAATAAAAATAAAAATAAATAAATAAATAAATAAATAAAGACAAAAGGAAGGTGATCAAACCCCCCACACACACAAAAATTAACCTCAAGAAGGAAACCAACTGTCTGCAAACATGAATAGGACATTCCATGAAGCCAAACATGGCCTAAATTCAGTATAATGATAAATAAAACTTTATTGACTTCTTCGTAAAATTAAACCTTGGACATCTATTCCCTACGGTTTATACCAATAAATCTTAACACACACACACACACACACAAAAAAAATTTAGTTTGTGCATTTTTGCAGATACAAAAGAAAGAAGACTTGGAAGGACATTGAACAGTCTAGGCCTAATCAGGAGCTAGAAACCACACAGAAAGTTTAATATGAAGAACTGTTAGCTACTATAGGAGAGTAACCATAAGAAGTAAGGAAACTCTACGAGGTTCCCTAGAGCAGAAGGAGAGTGCCCAAGTGTATTGATCTCCTCAGGCTGCTGTAACAAAGTGCCACAGACTGGTTGGCTTAAACAATGGACATTTATTTTCTTACCATTCTGGAGGCTAGAAGTTGGAGTCAAGGTGTCAGCAGGGTTGGTATCTCCTGAGGCTTCTCCACAGGAGACACCAACTTGCTTGTAGATGGACATCTACCCCAGGTCTTCTTTCCTCGGTGTGCATCTGTGCCTTAATCTCTTCTTATAAGGACACCCATCATATTGGATTAAGGCCCACCCTTACAACCTCATTTTAACCTAATTACCTCTTTAAAGGCCCCATTTCCAAATACAGTCACATTCTGAGGTGCTGGGTCTTAGGGTTACAACATAGGAATTTTGGCCCATGACCCCCAAAAAAGACAAACTTGGAAGGGGCTCAGACCTCTTTGGAGAAACTGTGCTTTGGCCACCAGGTAGCAGAGATGTGGGCTGCTTTAGCCAGACCTGAGCTGGTCTGGAGCAGATGGGCCAACAGTAGAAAACCTTCCAGAGCACTGTGATGAGAGTGTGCAGTGGGTCCAGCCAGCAGGCGGTGTGTGCCCCCCAGGGCCACAGGGCTGTGTGTAGCCTGCACAGTGGCATTGGTGTCAGTGTCGAGATGGCTGCACAGGGGTTATTGCCACATGGAGGCTGCGGTCTGGCCAGTGACTGGGGCTGGTCCCACTGGATGTCCTCACACTCACACTCACACTGCTGACCCCCACCCCCGGCCCTCCTGTAGTACCCTTCAGACACCTCCCCTGTGAGAGCTCCACACTGTGCTCATGTTAAAGGAATCCCACCTTTCATCACAGAGCACGTGTTGGAGCGTGTACTCAGAGCTGAGAGACAAAACACTGATGCCTGACAGACATTTATCTCAAAAGTTCATGAAGTGGGCAAGAGCTGCCTGTTTCCCACTAGCTAATTTATTCATTCACTCAGCAAAGACTTCTCGTGTGCCTCATCGGCGCCGGGCACAATTCAGGAGCTGGATCCGGTTTCCTGTTCCCTGGATCATATATGTATATTCTGCTGAGGATCTGCCCACGAATCACTACAAGTGTCCTGGGGAGATCCCTGGAAGCATCGGAAACTGGACTTTAAGTCCCAGCTCTGTGACTGTCTAGCTGGATGCCCTGAGCAAGCCCCTTTGCTTCCCTGGGCCGGACCCCACATACTTCTTTTTCCATGTCTAGGACACTGCGGCTCACCCATGTACTGCAGTCGGCCTTTGCTTCCCAGACTGTCAGCTTCTCCAGGCAGGAATCTTTCCACAAGTACATTACACATGGTACTGCTCAAGTGTCACCCGCCACCCTCAAATTTCTGTTTTCACCAGAGGCATATTTTTAGCAAGCAAATTGGACCTGTCTTTTCCCTGCTTACAATGTTAAATGACACCCCACAGCTTACAGAAGATCCTCTGAGACAGGGCTGCGAGAATTCTTTCCAAAAAACACTCTCTGCATTATCTTCCTGGGAGCACCTCCTTTATACGAGGGAGTATAACCCGTCTCTACCCTGCATGACCCTTTGTCTGTCAGGCAAACTCCTACTGATCCTTCACTCAGCATAGCCGCATCTTCCCTGGGAAGCTCTCCTTAACGCCCCGACTCACCCTCCCCAGACCTCCTCCTCCTTCCCAATGGTCTCCTTCTCTGTGCTCTACGAGCAGCATTTGCAGACCCCCAACACAACACCTTCCACTGAATAACAGTTTATCACTGATCAGTATCTCCCACCTGACTGGACAGATGAAGATAAATACAGAGTGGTCTGTTTGACCTCTTCATCCAGTCAGTGTCCTCTACAAAAAGGGCCTCCTCTGGAATAAAAAAGACTTAAGGAACATAATAACCAGCTGCAGGAATTGGACAAAGTAGGTCGCAAACACATTTTGGGGAAATTGAGGAAAGTTTAATATAGACTGAACATTAGATGATATTACCCAAAGGAGATGAAATCACCACCTTGTAAAGATATCTGCACTCCCATGTTCATTGCAACATTATTCAGAATAGACAAGGTATAGAAACAACCCAAATGCCCACTGATGGATGAATGGATAAAGAAACTGATACACACACACACACACACACACAAACACATATATATATGAATTCCTATTCAGCCTTATAAAAGAGGATCCTGCCATTTGCCACAACATCGTTGGACCTGGAGGACATTAGGCTAAGTGAAATAAGCCAGACCCAGAAAGAAAATTATGGCATGATCTCACTTATATGTGGAATATATATTTTTAAAAAGAGCTCAAGTACACAGAGATAGAAACAAAATAGTGGTTGCCACCAATGTGGGGTGAAGAAACGGGGTGATGTAGGTCAAAGGATATAAAATAACAGATATGTAGGGTGAACAAACCTAGAGATCTAATGTATGACACGAGGACTGAAGTTAATAAAATTGTATTGTACTAGAGATTCTTGTTTAACAAGTAGATTTGAGCTATTCCTGTCACACACACACAAAGTGACTACGTGAGATGATAGATATGCTAATTTGCTTCAGTATTGTAACTAGTTTACTATACGTATCCCATAACATTGCATTGTACACCTCAAATACGATATACACAACAAAATTTATAAATAAATCTGGGATCATTACTGTAAAATAAATTAGGGCACTCCTAAATTTATAGAAGCAAAAACAATATTAGTAGACCTGTTTACTTAAAAGAAATGTAAACTAATGGAATAAAGATTTCTCTTTATTTTATTTATTTATTTATTTTGGGGGGTTGGCCAATAAGGAGATCCATCCCTTGACCTTGGTGTTATCAGCACCACACTCTAACCAACTGAGCTAACCGGCCAGCCCAGATTTCTCTTTAAATTGATATAAGCCTAGTGCTGGCCTGTGGCTCACTCGGGAGAGTGCGGTGCTGATAGCACCAAGGCCACAGGTTCGGATCCCATATAGGGATGGCCGGTTGCTCACTGGGTGAGCGTGGTGCTGACAACACCAAGTCAAGGGTTAAGATCCCCTTACTGGTCATCTTTTAAAAAAATAGTAAATAAATAAATAAATTGATATAAGCCAAAGAAACGAACAAGCTCAAAATGAAACTCTTTAAAAAAAAAAGAATTATTGAAATGTTTTAGGTATACTAATGTTAAATTTTTTTGTTAATAGTTTCCTATTAAAGCACTTGGTGGAAGAATGTCATGATGTCTATAATCTACTTGCAAATACATCATCATAAAATGCATAATAATAATAATAAAATAGTCTTGAAAAAAAGTCGAGAGCATAGATTTGGTCTTTTTGCTTCTTTACCTCTAGCTCCCACTGTAATGTCTAGCCCACAACAGACAGTCGTGGAATTTTGGTGGTTGAATTAAACATGAGCAAAGGCAAGAAGGTAGGAAAACTATGGTGTGCTTCTGGTATGGTGAGGAAGTGGGTCTCATTGGGAAGAATGAAAACTAAATGCACAGTGCCCAATTTCATATGGACCACCAAAAGGAAAAGGGAGATTAGACCTACTGGGTAGGGCAGGGGCAGGGAAATGTGCAGAGTTCATGTGGTTGAGCCTGGAATTGCTCCTATAGAGTGATGCTGTGAGGAGTTCCACAGGTTTGTGCACTGCTCAAGAGACCCCAGCTAAATGCATTGTGATTAGCTCTATGCCTGCAGGAAGAGCCTTTTTCTAACTTTCTCTAAGATATCATTTAGTGGCAGCCCTGTTCCTATCTTTGTGGGGCTTGAGGAAGAAAAGGAGGATTAGGCTGACCATTTTGATGTGCTTGGTTTCTCAGGACAAAGAACTTTCCATGCTAAAAGTGGGACAATCCTGGGCAAACCTAGAAGGCTGGTCTACTGTCTTAGTCCATTTGGGCTGCTGTAACAAAATGCCATAAATGAGGTGGCTCATACACAATTTATTTCTTGCAGCTCTAGAGGCTGAGAAGTCCAAGATCAAGACACTGGCAGATTCAGTGTCGTGTGAGGACCTGCCTTCTTGTTCATAGACAGCACCTTCCTGCCGTGTCCTCACATGGTGGAGGGGGAGAACTCTGGTCTCTTCAGTCCTTTATAAGGGCACCAATCCCATTCATGAGGGTTCCATCCTCATGACCTAATCACTTCCTAAAGGCCCCGTCTCCCAATGGCATCACATTGGAGGTCAGGTTTCAACACATCGATTTTGCGAGAACATGAACATTTAGAGCATAGCAGTTACCCTAAGGAGAATGTGACAAGGGAACAAAGAAAAAGATTGAGACAGATGCAAATGAAGATGGAGAGACACAGAGGCCAGCAGGGAAGAAGGAGGTGAGTGCTGCAGATTGAATTTTCTGAAGGGGCAGTTTCAGATGATGGTGGGTGCAGGAGCCTAACTGTGGGGGCCCAGATGAGGGGGGAGGTAGAGGGGGGAGTAGCTACTCACTCAAGAATTTTGGCAACTAGAGGTGGAAGAGACTTTGGCTGATGGTCCAAGAGGGCAGTGGGGATGTGGATCTCTGTGTTTTTTGACACAGATGAAGAAACCAGTGGGAAGGGAGAGATGCTGGGGGAGGAGGTCCCCTCCAGATGAAGCAGGTGTGCTTCAGGGAAGCATGACAGTGCTTTGTCAAGGTAGCAACATGGACGCCCCACACTGGGTTCCTGTTCCAGTTCCTCTGTGCCCACATTCATCACTTTTGCAACCAAGTCTCTGGATGTTCTGCTGTGGTTACTGTTCCTGTAACTCAGGGCTCCCACGTCCTCTCTGCCACCACGAACAGTCTTTAACCAATGATGAGTTTGATTGACACCACCATGCTGTGCATGTTTGTCTCCAGTGTCAGGAGACTATCAACCTCAAGGTTGCATTCGCAAGTGCCTTATTTTTTAAAATACATTCCTGACACATGGCTCTGTAAACTGGCAAAATGGACTGCCTCAAGAGGGTCCTTGTTACCTTGAAGACATTATGCCAAGTGAAACAAGCCAGTCACAAAAGGACAAATATATGATTCCACTTACATGAGGACTGTATCCTCTGCTGCAACAAAAATACCATAGACCGGGTGGCTTACATAACAGAAATTTGTTTCTCACAGCTCTGTAAGGTGGGAAGTCCAAGATCAAGGTGTTGGGAGGTTTAGTTCCTGGTGAGAGTCCTCTTCCTGGTTATGTCCTTGCATAGCACAGAGACAGAGAGAGGAAGGCAGCTGTCTCGTGTCTCTTCTTACAAGGACAATAATCCCATCCTTATGGCCCCATCCTCATGACCTTATCCAACCCTAAGTACCTCCCAAAGACCCCATCTCCAAATAACATCACATTAGGGATTAGGGCTTTAACACATGAATTCTGGGGGACACAAATACTCAGTCCATAATAGCAGGTACCTAGAATAGTCAAATTCATAGAGAGAAGAAGTAAAATAATGGTTGCCAGGGGCAGGGGGGAAAGGGGAACGGGGAGATGTTGTTTAATGGGTAGAGTTTCAGTTTGGGAAAATGAAAACATCCTGGAGGTAGATGGTGGTGATGGGTTGCTCTGAACACTTAAAAATAATTAAGATGGTAAATTTCATGTTATGTATATTTTCCCACAATAATAAAAAAAAAGGACTGGCCAATTAGCTCATTTGGTTAGAGTGCAGTGTTATAACACATTAAGATGGTAAATTTCATGTTATGTATATTTTCCCACAATAATAAAAAAAAAGGACTGGCCAATTAGCTCATTTGGTTAGAGTGCAGTGTTATAACACCAGTATCAAAGATTCAGATCCCCTCATCAGCCAGCCAAAAAAAAAAAAAAAAAAAAAAGATTTTTTTTGATAGCTCTTCATTTGTTTGGGTATCCAATAAACTGGTGACTTTCTTCAAATTGTTTTGCATTTTCCATTGTCTGTACGCAAATTTGGGAAAGAGTTATTTTGTCTGTCCCCTAAAGTGCCTAACTTGAATAACTTCCATTAAAAAAAAACAACAGCTGTTAAATCTTTTTATGAGGGACCCAGCCACTGGCCTCTCCCACAGCTGTCCTCACTGAGATGGTCTTTGTTAGGTTTTGGAGCTTGGAAAGGAGTTTCTTATCTCACCTCCTTTCTATGCTGAGCAGGCTGTGAGCTTCGAACTGCAAGTTCACGTGTGCAAGAAAGAAGGTCTTTTCAAATTCACACAAAACTTAGAGAACATCAACCACTTTTCCAAGAAATGGAAGTTTCTTGTGAGTACGGGGAGCAGAAGGTTGAGATTGCAGGTCCTAAGGTGGTAAACAGTCCCCCCCTACCCCCTGAAAGCAGTGGGGAGAAGCTTTGGAGCCCAGGAGGGATGTGTTTGGAGCTTTGGGCTCCAGTGGGATGTCTGGCACACAAAAAGAAGGGCGTGTCTGAAGCTGACCCAGAATTTTCTTATTTGCATTAATTAAAAAAAAAAAAAAACTTTTCTAAATAGAAGCCTACATTTTGTCCAGACCAATATGTATCCTGAAGTTTTATTGCAATCCTGCTATTTTCTCTCTAATTACTATATGTCTTCCTTACTGTGAGTTGTCTGTGCAAAAGTCTGCATTTCAATTTCATGATTATCTCCCTTGTATCAGAAAACACACACCAAAGCTTTAGTGTGGTGCTAGGAATGTAGTTAAGTCCTCAGCAAACATGGATGTGTACCTGCATTTGACTTCTGGAAATTGTAAATGAAACTAGAAACAGTTGCAAATTAAACCATCTAACAAGGTGTTCTAGATGTCTGTCCCTAAGGGTCCTACTTGGGCTTTGGCTTATTTTATTATCAAATAATAGCATCAAATGTATTTCACTTTTGAGCTGGCGTGTAACAGACTATCTTCCATATGAAAAGCATCCCATTCCTTCTAGTGACTGCATTTACTATTTGACAGACATATTATTATGTGCTTATAGTGAGCAAAATACCCAAGGAATCCAAGACGTCTTATGGGATAGGCAGAGGACGGGTTTCCAGTGTGGAGACCCAGTATTCCAGGGCTTTGTTTGTATTTAATTTTTCATTTCCTCATTTCCTCGCCTAACTTGTTATCTTGACAGAGTAGCTGGACTGATCAGAGAAGATTGTCCACAAAGTGTCACGTTACTCAAGAGATAAAGAACAGAATGACAGGTGAGCAAAGGGGTGTTAGCTCATGCTTGTTTGTCCTTCCTGAGACCACAGATTGACATCTGTCATTTTAATAGAAATGATTAAGTTATACATCTTAAGGGTGGAGAGAATAACTCTCCCAAATCTAAATACAGACAAGGGAAAAAGCAAAATCTGCAATGTAAAGAAAATCACTCAGCTTACTGGTGCCCCAAACAAATTAAACTTTATCAAAAAAATTATCTTAAATGAATATTCTGCTTCTAAAGTGTCTTAGTTTCTTAGCAGGTTAATTCCAAACTTATTACGAAAGATAACAGACAATTTCACTCCCAAGCCCCATTCATTTCTATCTGTGTGTGCACCGGCCAGATAGTTGCTTTCCCATGACATCTGCCGGAGTTTTAAGAGAATGGAGAAAAAGCCAGGAGTGCCCAGTCATTTGGGCCAAGCCCCAGCCTCTGCCTGGATGGCTTCCCCAGTTCAGACTTACATTTGTGGGCTTTCAGCTTCTTCTCATCCACGGGAATGAGGTCCAGGTAATCCAGGTAGTACTCGTAGCTGTAGTACGGGGCAGAGGTGTTGGTCCCGTTGGCCATGTCTGCAGCACTGGGAAGCCAGGGTAGGCCAGTGGGCTCACATCCGGGGCTGCGCTCTGAGGCCCTGGGAGGAGATTGCCTAATCAATTCTGTAGGAATTATCCAAGTGTGTCTGTGGGTCTCCAGGCTCAAGGCCAGCCTACTTATCAGAGCCGTTTGGCTGGAAGGAAGGTCAGGGGCTGTGCCTGACATCCTCAGTACACAGAGCGTCCCATCCTGCCCCTTCTTGATGCAACTCCAAAACAAACAGGGCTGAAAGGCGGGAGAACAGGTTTCCATGCAGCTCCAGATGCCTCTCTGCATAAGGACTGGGAGCTGGGCAGGAAAACGTGCCCTGGGCTTCTTGAAAGAGAAGATACCCAATAGGGCTAAGAAGGACAATTGCTTTTTACCTTAAATATGTGAAAAGTTAATAAAACCAAAATGAGAGCCTGACAGTGTCCTTGACTTACATTTAGGCAATTCTTGGTACTATTAAGCAACCAGCAAATCGCTGGCTTATGTTCATTATCTGAGTGACGTTGGCCCTGAACTTGTAACCTCTCTCATGTACACATAGCCTATTCATGAAAACCAGAAGAGCACCCTGCCCTGATTGAGTAGACCTCTCAGCTTTCATCTAAGCCCCCAAGAGCCATCCAGTTGGCTGCCTTTGTTGAGACCGAAGAGGCTGTTTATATGGGCGAAGATCCTACATGGATTGAGCTCTTGGGAAACAGGACCTGAGCATCCACCCAATTCTTGGCTGACAGAGATTCTTCCGGGTTTCCGTAGGGCCTGACTCCAAGTTAAACACTCACTCTTCTAAGAATCTAAGACACTGTCAAGAGGACATTCTGAATGTTTGGAATGAGCAGGACTAAGTGTGTGAGGAGCCCTAGATTTTAGCTTTTGGGAATTACGGAGTCAAAACACACAGATTTATGGGGTCTTTCCCTCCAATATCCCAATTTTCTAGTGTTCTGGACTCAGGTTTATACTACCAGGGTAAAGCTGGGCATTGACAGTGTAGACAGTCAACCCAGATAACTTGAGCCCCTCGGCTGGCTGTGATTAGGCCTGCTGTACCTGAGGCCTTCCTCGGGGAGCACTCTGAGGGGGTTCAGTTGATTAGAAGAAGAATGAGCTCTTGGTTTTCTAAAATGAGACGGGGGGAAGTTCCCCTTGAAAAGTAAAAGAGAACTCCTGTTTCGTCTACATTTTTTTTTTTGGTGGTTGGCCTGTAAGGGGATCCAAACCCTTGGCCTTGATGTTACAAAGCTTCACTCTAACAACTGAGCTAACTGGCCAGCCCCCTTTCTACACTTCTGACACTGGATGTGTGTTTCCACACCAAGAAATTTCCAATTTGGGGGAGACACTGACTGGTGTCCTACAATTTAACTCAGTTCTGACACTAACTGCCCAGAGTTTTCACAGACCCCACAGGTTAATAGTTTGGTTGCACAAGGCTGCCCCCCACCCTTCAGACACCAATCACAAGTCTCAGGTTGTGACCTGCACTTCTGACCAACTAGCTGTAAATCAGGAGTTCCCACACTCCATCCCTGGGCTTAATCATTGGCTACAATGGCTCAAAGAACTCAGGAAAACACTTTACTTACTAGATTACTGATTTACTATAAAAAGATACAGCTCAGGAACAGCCAGATGGAAGAGACGCATAGGGCACGGTATGGGGAAGGGGCATGAAGTTTCCATGCCTTCTCCAGGTGCACCACCTCAATAACCTGGAAGCTCTCTGAACCCCCTTGTTTAGGGTTTTAATAGAGGTTTCATTATGTAGGCATGATTGATTAAATCATTGGCCATTGGTGATCAAACCCAATCCCTATAATGCTATAAACACGTGGTTGCTTCCTCTGGCATCCAGCTCCCATCCTCCAAAAGTAACCTCATTAACATAGCATGATTGATTAAATCATTGGCCATTGGTGATCAAACCCAATCCCTATAATGCTATAAACATGTGGTTGCTTCCTCTGGCATCCAGCTCCCATCCTCCAAAAGTAACCTCATTAACATAAATTCAGATATGGTTGAAAAGGGCTTATGAATAACAAAAGACACTCCTCTTACCCATCATTCAGAAATTCAAAGGGTTCCAGGATCCAGGGACAAAGACCAAATGCAGTCTTTCCTTGGTATCCTGGGGGATTGGTTCCAGGCTCCCCATCCCACCCCCTCACAGATACCAAAATCCAGGATGCTCAAGTACCTTATATAAAAAGGTGTAGTATTTGCATATAACCTATGCACATCCTCCCCGTATACTTTAAGTCATCTCTAGATTACTTCTAATTCCTAAGACAATGTAAACTTTCTGTAAGTACTTATTCTATATTGTTTTTAAATTTGTTTTGTATTGTTGTATTGTTATTATTTATTTGTTTGTTTTAAAGTATTTTCAATCTGCAGTTGGTTGAATCCAGGAACTGTATATATTTCTTATTATATCACAACATCACAAAAAGACACACACACACACACACACACCCTGCACACACCTGTGTACTTCTGTTATCGGACCAGTTTCTTGAGTCTCAAAGTCACAGAAATGCCAATGCACACAGCAGTAAAGCAAGGAAAGCTTTACTAAAAGGAGATAGGCTAATGAATAAGGAAGACAGCCATGGAGAAGCGGGCTTTCTGAGGGGAGCTGTTCAGAGTCCTTTACAGGGCAAGTGGTGCAGGCCAGCGTCATGATTCTGCGCCTCTGGAGGTGGGCCATTCTGTTCTTCCTGGTTGCATCATGAGTACATGCTCAGTTAGGGCTTTGGTCCCTGCACCTGCTCAGTAGATCTAAGATGGTGGTGTTGCTCACTACTGCCACCCCAGGAGGGTTGTTGTAGCAGTCACCTTGAAGCTTTGTGTGCATGCAGGCGTTGGGCTAACTGCCTAGGGGAAGTTTGTGGTTAAAAAAGTTTCTTGTCATACTATAATTTTTTCTCTTCTAATTCTTTATTTTTATTTTTATTTTTTGCAGCCGGCCGGTATGGGGATCCAAACCCTTGACGTTGGTGTTATCTTCTAATTCTAAAAGTAGAAGGAAGGTTGGAGTCAAGAGGATTTGGAAATTGGCAGGTAGGATGGATGCAGAGTATGAGAATATGTGAGTCCAGTGGGAGTGCTTGCCTCTGTGTCTGCCAGTCCAATCCTCCTTTTCCTCTGCCCCCTCAAATTTTAGTTTTGAGTGGCCAAGACAACTCTCCTGATCCTGCCAGGCCTTGGTGCCCTCCCCTCTTCTCAACTCCAATCACTAGCATTTGTCATCACTACCATCTTTGAAAAAATTACTCTTAAGTTGAGGTATAACTCCCAATAAATAAGGTGCACAAATCATAATGATACAGAAAAATACTTCACTCTGTCTCTCTCTCTCTCACACACACACACAGATCCATGCAACCATTGTCTAGATCAAGATATAGAACATTTCTGGTACTCCAGGAGACCCCCTCATGCTCCTTTCTGGCCAATAACCCCCCACTCTGAACTCCATCCCCCACCAAGGAAACCACTTTCCTGACTTCAATAATCATAGATGAGTTTTGCCTGTTTCTGAACCTAATATAAATGGAATCATACAGTAAAACCCAGTACAAACCTTTTGTGTCTTGCTTCTTTCATTCAACACATTGTTGCATGTAGCCATCGTTTGTTCTTTTTTTTTTTTTCTGTGTAGTATTCTATTATATGAATATTTTATAATTTACTTATCCATTCTATTGATGCACATTTGGGTCATTTTCAGTTTTGGGGTATTATGAATAAAGTGGCTGTGGACATTCTTTCATGGACATAATCACAGATTCCTCTTGGGTGAGGAATTGATGGGGCACGGGGTATGTGCACGTACTCATATTTTCAGCTTTAATGGATAAGGCTAACAAGTTTTACACTCTCACAAGCAATACATGTATGGTATATTGCAAAAGAGCTAGCTTGTTACAGTGACTTTGCATATCCTCACACAAAAAAATGAAGAGTATTTCTGCATGCCTTGAATGTGGTTTGGCCTTTTGACTTATTTTGGCTTTAACTAATACAACTATTAAGAAGTTGTGGTCTGGCCAGTCAGGGGGCTTGGTTAGAGTGTGGTGCTGATAACAACAAAGTCCAGGGTTTGATCCCTGTACTGTCCAGCCACCAAAAAAGAAAAAGAAGAAGTAGTATAAGTTCCAGGCCAAAGGCTTAAGAGGTCTTGCACACTTCCAGTCTCTAGGAGCCCTACATGGTCACTATGTGAATAAGCATGAATTGCCCTGAGGGGTGACAGAGACATGTCCTGTCAACAGCCAGCTAACCCCTAGGAGCAGAGGTGTCGCTAACCAGTGACTGACTGCAGATTCATGAGTTATCACAGTCAAAACCCAGAGAACACCCAGCTGAGCCCAGCTGAAATTGCTGATCTGCAGAATTATGAGATTCTGAGCTAAATGAATAGTTGTTTTTTTAATTTACTAATCTTGAGTGATTTCTTACACAGCAAGAGGTAACTGATAAAATAGGACAGTTCCTGTTGTTGCACATTTTCAACAATATTTGTTATTTTTATTTTAATCCCTTTAATTTTAGATCTGCCGGTAAGGATATACCATGTATGTATATATGTATGTATGTTTTTATTTGTTTGTTTATTTTTGGTGACTAGTTGGTATGGATATCTGAACCTGTAACCTTGGTGTTATAAGGCTGTGCTCTAACCAACTGAGCTAACCCACTAGTCCAAAAGACACTCTTTTTTTTTTTTTTCCTTTTGTGGCAGGCTGATACAGATATACCATGTTTTTAAATTTATTCCTGTATGAGCCTTAACTTCCCTAGCTGCTTTTTAAAGTTTCTGAAGACAAAGACCATGCTTTACATAGTAGCTGTAATATTAGAATTCGTTGATAGTATCAATCATATTAAAAGCTTTCCGTGAGATTAAAAAAAAAAAAGTATTCCTAACAACCAGAAATCTTAAGGCAAAAAATGCTGCAACGGTCAATCAATCCAAGTTATTTATATACAAAATTATACAATTAAAACCCAGTTAAATGGTTTTTGGTAATTGTGGAGTAGCATATATCCCACTAACCAGTCCACAGATAGCAATTGCAAAATCTGGACAAGACATAATTAAGCAACTATTTGGAGTCACTGGAGAGTGACTGACAGTGGCAGAAACTGAAGGGAAGTCAACGCTTTTGTGAAGGGAGCTGCACTTGTTGAAATTTGTATTTTCGTGGTGTTTCTCCTGAATGC